CACTACCATCTTGTACATGCATTAGTGTGAAAGCTTAGATAAACACTGCCATCTTATAGATGCATTAACGTGAAAGCTTAGATAAACACTGCCATCTTATAGATGCATTAACGTGAAAGCTTAGATAAATACTACCATCTTGTACATGCATTAGCGTGAAAGCTTAGATAAACACTGCCATCTACGAGAAATATACACTTTTGTGCACCTTTTCTTTACCAGTCCAGAACTTCCATAGCGTTAATTTTTTTTTAACTTAATCCCTGTTATACTGACTTGAAACCCTTGAGCTTACGCTGAGCCGCCGGGTGCGCACACAAACAGTATAGATTAAGCATGCATATATTTAGAACCTTAAAAAGTATCATCAGTGGTATGACATAGATTAAAAATTTTAAAGAAGAAAACCAAAACTAATTGCTTTATTATATGGTTAATTAGTTCCAGAATACGTTTATTATAGATATGTAAATCATGCCACGTTAGCCAATATGTGCTAAAATGCTCCCGGTGGCTCAGTGGTGATTCTGAGGGCTTGTAACTCTAAAAAGCAAGTTTCGACGTTTTTTATTGTTAAGCACAAAGCTACACAATAAGAACAGATAGCTCACTGTGTAGCTTTATGCTTAACAATAAAAACAAACAATACTAAAATTTACAAAAGAACGAAGTTTGAAATATTCAAAACTTAGAAGTCACAAGCGACAGTTTCATTAACTCATTACCTCATGTTATAAATACTGACATATTTTCTCGATAAAACTTAAGTTAGATAACAATGAAGTAAATTAACACAATCAGTCGTGGTATTCCCACTTTGTTTTATATTTGTTATATGCCCTCTAGTTGCACAACAGCAAATTTGCGGACTTATAACTCTAAAAACCGGATTTCAGTACTCGCGGTGGGCACAACATAAATAGCCTATTGTGTAGCTTTGTGCTTAACTACAAACAAACATATGTATGTTATGAAACTGAGTGAGTTTCTTCCTTCTATTAAATATTTTAATTCGTATCACGAACCACGATAGTGGTTCATAATAAGGATCGCAAGGAACTGCATAAAACCCTAACTATTGTCTGCTAACGACGTACATATATAAATATGCACAAAAACACGCATATTAGACTTACAAGGAAAAGAAAATCCGCTCAAAACGGTCTGTTTGTAATTCTTCTTCATATTATTAATATTAGTCATTGCCAGCCTACAACAAAAACAGCTTGGTCTATTGCACCCAAACCTTTTGTAGAATACTAAATAATGTACTGTGATGATCGTACTGATGGTACTGAAAAGTCGATTTGTTTATTCTATATTTTACATAAGCTAAAAAACATCATAATTTTAGTGTAAACGATGTTACCATTACCCCTTGAAGTTAACTATATTACACGTATCTGGTGTTCCTTTTAAAAACTTAAGTACAAGGTGAAACAGGATTTACCAGCCAATAATATATGAACATTAAATGACTGTAACATGTACATACTCAATGCTTTGTACTTTATAGAATCGGTGTCTTTAGGGAATAAATCCATATAAACAATACACATAATATTGAATTTTATTACACACATTCCCAGAATAATTACTTTAAAAGACACGAAGTTCTCTCTAGCCACACACACACACACATACAAAACGAATCAATTTCATCTAAGTTGTAAATTATGTAGGTGATATTTTCAGGCGGAAGCCTACTCTATCCAGACCTTGTCTTGTTGTTTTACATGTGAAACAATTTCAGTCTGGGTGACTTTACCTGGAGTAAAACGTATGGGTCTTATTAATACGTTTTCTGTGTGTGTGTGTGATCGGTTAATATCTACTGTTCACTTTGACAGATGCTCTGAGATGTGTACCTCAAATGTTTATAGATTCCAACTTCATACGTCGTTTAAAGTGCTACATCTATGCTTTAGATGGATATGTGTATGTCTTCATCAATTAAAACAGTCAATCACACACACACCAGTGAATGCATGTTTTCTAAGGCTACTCCCAGTTAGGATAACTAGCGGTTTCCTCTAGCTGGTTGCTTAGTGTTGTAAAGGCTAGTTCTCTCAGATTGAAAGCAGCATAGGTAGTGGATTCCATTAATTTAGTTGAAAAATGATCTCGAACTAGTTCTTATATGCTTCCCAATGAATATTTGTCGGTCATAATCTGTTTGTGTTTCTATGGGTTTGGAAAGTGGTCGACTGGGGTTGTCAGATAATTATGTACATGTGGTACACACAGTCTCAAGAAGCACATCTATGACGATTGGAGTAGTCAGGTAATTATGTACATATGGTACACAGTTTCAATAAGCACAACTGTGACGACTGATGTAGTCAGATAATTATGTACACGTGGTACACAGTCTTAAGAAGCACAGCTGTGGCGACCGGAGTAGTCCATGTTGATAAAAGTAGCTGAGTTATAAATATTAACGTAGTCTTTATTTGAAATCCCTTGACTCAGATTAACAATGATACTGGTAATTTGATGATTCAAAATTCCTATTCTTAAATCTGGTCTATTCTGTCAGGCCTTTCACAGCAGTACTAATAAAGGATTGTTTGTTTGTTTTGAATTTCGCGCAAAGCTACAAAACTAGCCGTCTCTAATTTAGCAGTGAAAGAGGGAAGGCAGCTAGTCATCACCACCCACCACCAACTCTTGGGCTACTCTTTTACTGACGAATAGTAAGATTGCCCGTCACATTATAACGCCCCCACGGCTGAAAGGGCGAGCAGGTTTGGTTAGATATGGATTCGAACCCGTGACCCGCAGATTTCGAGTCGAGCGCCTTAACCACCTGACCATGACTAATAAAAGAATTTACACTTGAAGGATTGTGACAATCTGGGCATCTGTGCTTTCCTGGACAGTTGCTATCCTTATATACAAACAAACCCCTATATATTATCACATTTGCCTTTTTTATTTTTCATGACTCCTTCAACATTACTCTTTATATTTTCATGGATAACAGTAGAGTTAAGATACAGGATATTTTCTACAACCTTCACATTGTGTATACTAATTTATTCTTGATCATTTAAGAGTTACTAGTATTTCTTTTCTATTCAGTTGCTCATCACTTGTTTTTCTGTCACGTTCTTGATTGTTTTTTTTTCTAAGTGGCCTCTTTAAGCTCTTAATTTTTGTATTTTTTTGCTATTTTCGTTGTTTTTGCTTTTTTCACGTACTCACCATATCTATCTAATTTTTAGCTTACTGTTATTCTATATACTTCTCCCAAGGTTATTCAATTAGGGTTTTAAAGAATGTTTTTGTAACCCTAACACAGGACTAACACAATAACATAATGTGACTACGTCTATTGTTTATACTAGCAGTAAAGTAATAAGTAACAACAAGAAATCGAATAATATTTATCTTAAAGCACTATGACATGTCATTGTACAGCAAATAACGTTAGAGGTAATACGGTGTCTTAAAACACTTTGATGTACAACCTTCACGCATAATACCATGCACAGTTGTTCAAAGCTGATAAAAATCAGGGCCACTAACCTTAAGATCAAGATTATCATATTACAAGTTCAACAATCTCTTCTTGTAAACGCCATATAATATGGACTTTCTGAACGATGTTTGTTATAAATAAAAAATTAAAAAATACAAGTTAATTTACCTGAAGCGTAAATATACAATGTGATATGAACTTTCAATAGTGCTGGGATGTTCCGAGATTGTAATGAACAGAAAAGTAATCACTTATTATAAATATAATTTTAAAACAAAGTTGTTTTGATTTATGTAAATGTTTAATAACATCTAGTCTTTTTTGAAGTAACACAATTTTGCTCTCTAAAGAACTCCAGGTAAGGTTAGGATTATCTAATAAAAATTATGTCTTTATATATATATATATATATATATATATATATATTATATTATTATTGTTTACTTTATCGGGATGGGAGCACAAAAATGTAACTAATATCTAATTTTGATATACTGTTTATACCTAATATGAATGATAAGTCAAAGTTTTTAAAACATTTAAACCCTGGAACAAAACAAAAGTCCTGGCAGTCAGCGGGTTCGAATCCCATAACCGAGCATAGTTGTGGGAGCATTATTATGTTATGGTAAATCCTACAGTTCGATTCGAGTAGCCCAAGAGTTAGTGATGGGTGGTGTTGACTAACTCCCTTTTCTTCCTCCAGTTTATAACTTCTAAATTATGGACAGCTAGCGCAGATATTCATCGAGAAATTTTGCGCGAAATTCAACAAACAAACAAAAGAAAAGATTATGAATTATTACATACGACTCTTGAAAATCTATTTTGGTTATACAGTCTAAAAAAAAAAAGTTAGAATTATCATAAGTAGACATTTACTTCCAGTATAAAATGATTTGAATGAGAGACTGTGGATCTTGAATGTAAAGTATACAGCTACAAAATGGGCTCACGGCAGGTATCGAAATTTTCTTTTTAGCGTTTTAAGCATTCAGACATACCGCTGAGATCCAAGACTGCGTTGCCTGGTCATCAAAAGAAAGTATTTTTTTGGTCATCTTAAATGTAGGTTACAAGTCATTTTTTTGTTCGAAATATTTGTTTTTCTGAAAATATTTCACTTTGGTCAATGTTGATTACACATATTTAATTATTTTATACTAGCAGGTTTTTGACTGTAAATAAGAAAGCGAAGCTCGGAAAGCTATTTTATGGAGGATTTGGTAATGTAAATATCTCAAAGACATTTGTTTGGACAGGAATAACCTTGAACAGTTTTAGATAAAATTTTGCTCTTCATATTTGAAAAGAGCCTCTATATAAAAACCAAGACCTTGCCCAAAAACTTTCACAAGTAGTTCCTGTTCATGAAAACCTCTTACAACAATGGATTTTTATATTTTCTTACATTGTTAACTTCGTACAGTTTTGTAGGAACAATATATTACAGTACTCCCTCGTTAATACTAGATATCTTATGGTGTAACTGAATGTAACACCTGATTTACAAGAACGTAATCTTCATAACTAAGTATTGTTGCAATTAAAAATATTTATTATATATTTCAATGCTATAATCATAATCGTATCAAATACAATGCTCTTACAAATCGTATCATTTGGCATATAAATTTAACGTTAATAATTTTGAGAAGATCAATGAATTTCATTATAATAAAACACGAGCAATCTAATCAAGTGAAACAGTAAAGCACTGAATTTTCGATCTGTATTTTAACTTCATCGTGAAGACTAATACAATCAGTTTGTCACACCTTGCATCTTTAAAACCCAAGCCCATTGGCATGGTAGAATATCTGGTGTTAGTTTGGGGAAATTTACGGTTATTCCCCATAATGAGCTTCTTTTGAAATACAATGTGCCTGGAACACCAAGCATTGTAATGGTGGCACTATCCTTCAGAGTTGGCGCCCCAAGAAAAAGCTTGTCATTTTTGGGCCAATCCAATACGACAGCGTACACGGTGGAAGTGGCCAGGTTTTTAGTATACCTAGCAGCACGAAAAAAACAATATAAAATTACAGGGAATTTGACTTTGTAATACAATAACAATTATTAAATGTTTAAAATATAAATACATTGATTCTCTACATGTATAGCGACATCTTTTAACAAAATGTAAAAAAAAGAAAAACTTATATAAATTATAAAAACAGTTTTTTAAAAGTACATATATGTGACCAAAATATGTTTTATCAGAATATTTCTAAATAAGTGAAAATTGAAACCAGATGTGATAGAAAGCCGTGCTTCTGTTTAGCCAACTAATATGTTATTCTTAACATTTCTGTATTTTTATTGTTACTTTCATAATTGTTATTATTCATTAGATGCCAGTGATATAATAATAATTAGGTTGATAAATGGCTTGGTATGTGTTATATATTGTTCTATTAAAATGTACGATATTTTTCCCTTGACAAAAAACAAGCAAACTATTAATGTTTAGAAGAAAAAAAAACACGTTGTATTTATATAACACTATAAAACGAAAATCGATCAAATACGAGCTCCACTGACCGTGGAACAACATAATATTTAGTGGATTTGCTTGTGCAGAAGTGAGCCAATGATACCACAGAAGATAACAATATAGGACTGAACCATACCAGGATATGTGAAACTTTTAAATTAACGTCACTCACAAGTGAGTTTTACAAATTTCGCGCAAAGCCACACAAAGTGCGCTAGCCGTCCCTAATTTTGAACCGATAGAGGCAGCTATTCAACAACATCCACTTTCAGCTCGTGTGTTTCTTTGCTGATAAAATAATGGAACTTGATCGTTACTCTTATAGCACACTACCGTCTCAAAGTGCGGAGTGTGTTTCTTTTCCAGCAATGGGACGCGAACCATGTATCCTCTGATTCACAGTCTGGACACGCTAACAACATCCTGTCTACTAGTTATTTAATTTTATGTGAAACAGGTGTAAACTGCTAATGCAAATAACCCTATCCTCGCTAATTGCTAATCTTAAGAGTAACAAGTAGTGGACATAACTTATTGTGTGTAGGTAAGGACACAACTTACTCACCACACATTTGGAGTAACTGTATCGTTCTGGTAGTTCCATGGTCGACTTCCATAGATAGCTTCACCATTCACTTTGAGCCACTTTCCAAGGTTGCGAAGTCTCTCTTCGAATATGGGCGTTATTCTACCATCGTGGGTCGGACCAACATTTATCAGTATGTTCCCTCCACAACTATTGATTGTTTAAAGAAAATCATTACTTACTTCAGTTCGTTTTTAATTAATACCAAAGTTTTGTCTTCTGTATGTGTCTTTACCTTGAATGAGACATATTAGCTAAGTTGAAATTTAGCAGAAAATGAATTTTTTAAACTAAATATTTGAATGATATTAAGAACAAGCATTGTATGTAACACCTAATGACGTGTATGCTTTTTTTTCTTTTATAAAAATATCAGAAACTAAATTTTTAAAAATACTTGAATGGATAGAAAAATGGCAGGATTCATTAACTGAAAAAAAAAGTTTTTTCTTTAGGTTTTGATCAACTTAACTATTTAAATTACTTCAAACAATTTATAGAACTGAACAAATCAAGTTGTTCGAAATTGTAAAGTTTGAAATACGCTATGGAAATCGGTGTTGACATAAACACATTAATTTATAAAATAACACATCAAATACGTTCTGGAATATCATAACAAATTGTTTAGTAAAGTTAATAATTTGTTCAAGATCTTTTGTTAAGTAATCAGCCTTGTTACGTTTCTAAAAACAAGGAATTTTATTCATAAAATTAGAATTTTGAGTTAAAAATTTAATTGTAATCAACGTACCATAGCTTTCATAAAATAGACCCACCAATAAACCTTTCAAACGTCAAAATCTTATTTAAAGATTCTTTCTTTCTTGGAAGATTTAAAGTTAACATTGCCGAGATAAACGTTAAAGATTTTCTGCACTTCATTTAAACATTCATATTCAGAAGTGTCATTTTCATTTTGAAAATTTAAGAATTTATGACAATTAAAAAAAAAAAGAAAAATACTAGCTAATAATATAACTGAAACGTGATTAAAATATAGGAAAAATAATAGAAATCATAAGCTATTAGGTGACAAACCAGAATCATCTAAAGTATATGGAATTTGTACAATAATACATTTACAATTAATGAATAATTTGTGGCTTAGATGTTTTGATATGTTAACCCATAAATGAACAAAAACTTTGTAATATTGTTTTGCAATATGTAATAAAATAATTTTTTATTGATCAATATTCTAACATAATTTGATTGGCCACTTTTTTAGAATCCATCATAAACATCAGTAGAACACTGTTTATTTACACAATTAAAATAAATTATGTCTTAGTTGCTAGATTGAGCCTTATAAAAACAGAAATGTAACTATGTCATGATTGTCCTGCAAGATAAAGGAACAATTACCCAAGGAGACAGAGAGTACCCATCAAATAAAAGTGTCATTATGAAAGAACGTTTTCTTGTGCGGCTGCTCAAATAAATCTATCTCCAGTCTACCAGCTCAGTCAACAGAACAATAATTTTTATGTCACTAATAAAAACTGTTGTCTCCAAATGCTAGTACAAGACTGATAGAAAAACATTGATTAAGCTTGTAAAGCGCAAAAGATGTCTGACTACGTCCTAATTGACGTCCTAGCAGCAGTCAGGAATCGATATCTCAATCGTATCATGCAAACTACGTTATAAAACTATAGAAACTGTCATATAGTCGTCGATAACCAATTCAAAAATAGCTTACTTCAGATGAAACTTGAAAGCATGGCTTTGCTGGTGGTTATAATACTGTCTGTGGACAAATAACGAATAGAAGGGACTGATGTGTTGCGATTCCCCCTTTTGAGTATAAATATGGAAAAAACCACATCGGTTCTTGAGGTTTATTGTATTGTTTTGAAGTTCAAGTTAAAACCACATAGGTTCTTGAGGTTTATAGTATTGTTTTGAAGTGAAAATTGCCGGAGGTGATACAATGGTGTAGCAAACAAGTTTGTTGCAGGGGTTAGATCCTTTGATTAATTTTATCCACATTTATTGCTGATAATGTTCAATCATCACTACTGCTTTTTTACCATGACTGATAAAGGTTCTTGGAATAAATGATTCTTTAGAGACATCGATTTGTGTTTTAAAAAATTATAGTAATAAACTTTATAAAGTATACAAGGGAAATAAAAACTCAGTTAAGTCACTTATATAGTTGTTAGACCTTAAAACAATTTTTAAAATTGTAGCTATTAACAAGCTTAAAAATTGGGTAAAACTCATTTCAAAGTTATCTAAAAGTTAGAAATGGTATATATGTACAAGATTAGTAAAAAATAGTTAATTTGAAGGGGGGATAAAGATCTTCAAAAAAATAGAGAAACAATTTGATTCAAAATGGTAGATTATATATTCAAGCCTACCACTAGGGACTCTTAGAAAAATAAAGAAACAAGGCTGGAAATAGTGTCTACATTATTTCCCCAAGCTATAAGTCCCTATTTTGACTCCTTTAAAATTATTAAGTACTGTACACATGGAGTCAAAATAGGGATTTGTAGCTTGATAAAATAATGCAGACACCATTTCCATTCTTGTTTGTTTACTTTTTTAGAGTTCCCAGTTGTAAGCTTGAAAATATTATCTTTGCATTAAACTTGTTTCTGTACGTTTTTGACGATCCCCATCCCCCCTTTTTGAATTAACCATTTTTACTAATATTGTTTCTTAATTTTTTTTTGTGTACATTTATGGAGAATAATTATTAAGCTACATACGTGCATATGCGTTAAGTTGAATGTTACATGTTTTTGAACAGTTTACTCTGCATTGGCTTTTTTCCACCCAACCACCATACTGAACTTACTCAAAATAAATGACAAATATATAAAAAAGAATAAACACATGCACTGGTATGCAGCTACAACAAACAAAATGTAAAATTGTTCTCAAAGGACCCTCTTGAAGACAAAGATTATGTCGTCATAGATTTAATGACTGGCTTCCATCAATGTCACAGTGTAATGTAACAAAAGACGAGCAGCAACAAAGCAGTCTCATCAGAATAATGCTTCTTCTATAATAATACATCATAGATTAATGCAACGTGAACAGACTCAGTAACATGCTTACCTTGTTAGGTCTATATGATATGACACATTAAAATAAGGCGACACAAATAATGCAAACAAAATAGACAACAGCGACACAATTAGCGTAAGTCGCCAATTATCGACAACATTTACAACAGCTACCTTAACCAACCATTTAAAAATAGCAATAGCTATATGAAATAGTGCCATATGCAGTGGTAATAAATACTGAATAGGCACTCACAATTTCAGCTAAGTATAAAAAGCAGTAGAAATAATCACCACCATTGTCTGAGTAGGGAAAACTACCATGGTAATTGTCCACTGCTAAAAATTTGCTGAAATATAGTCGGGGAAATGAACATAGAGACAGCAAACTCGAGTTATGATAAACAATAACGACTCGAGTAATAATATGCAACACCAAAATCGGGAATCTTTCACATGACAGTTTCCAATTAATTAATGCGTTAGAAAATGCACAAATTGTAGTTTCCAACTAACGTGCATGCTAGGAAAACATCGGATTTTTGGATGCTGGAGAATGAAGGATTTAGAAAATTTTGCGGTACGACAAAATTAAGGAGATTGAATTAAGTTTAAAAGTACTCTCCCAGTTTTGGAAAATTCCTTTGTGATCCCACACTACAGTAGATATTACTTGCGATAAGTTTATACTGGAGTCATAATAAGGATTTGTAGCTTGAGTAAACTGTCAGCATTAGATATACCATTTAGAGTTATGAAATATCTTAAAAAAGAGAATTCATGGTGTAAAGAAGAATCGGAATTTTTGGACCATTATTATTTTGAATTTTTATGGAATAGTTATATTAGTATACAACAATTGTAAAGTCATAATGTAACTTTAAAATCTGTTAAAAATATAATGGGATATGAATATTATATAAATAATATAGTAGAATCTTTACTTAATTTTTATAAAAAATGTTAACCTTAAATGTTCTAACCAAATTACCATGTATCTAATGAAGACAGAGAAGAATTAATATTAATAATACAATTAGTAAGGTTTCTGAAAGTAATGTAAATTTTTTATTTTCTTCCATAGAACATAAATGACAGACATTACAAATTATTTCAATTACATTTTCTTTGCTAGAATGTATTATTATTAAAATACTGAACAAAGATTTTTTCTCTTCAGTAAAAAAATGTGCTCGTAATTCATGATTGTTGTACCGTATTTTCATCCGGTGAGAAAAATTTTATTAAACAATACAAATTAATCTAGAATTAACTTCTACGTGAAACCGAGTTATTATCGTAATGTCTTAAGCTTAGATATCACAAACTTTAAAACTGTAAACAGATTTAAAAGTGATTTAATCAGTCAGTTATATTTAGATTATGAATGAAAATTAAATCCATAATTTTATTTAAGAACTTAAAACATTTATTTTTAAGTTTAAAAACGGATACTAAATATCAGATTACTTATAATGAAATCATTGAAGTTTTTAAACAATATACATGATTGTGGAAGTTGATTGTTTGTTATTTACATGTAAGTGGGATTGAACTTAAACAAGCTCTACTCGACTGCTCAATCTTACTCCTAAAAAAATTGACAAACTGTCACCAGTAAAATGAATATCAAACATTTTATTCAAATAATATTAACTAAGTTTAATGGGTAGTTGTTTATATATTTAATGTAATAACATTTTTGAAGAAAATATTGAATGAATGAAATTTTTTATTCTTGAACTTCAAGAAAGTCTGTTGGCTTGTTGTACATATAAAAATGTGGAAACGACAATCTGATGATTCTTGACAAATTTGGTACTTCTACATTATTCAGTCATTTTTTTTTTTACAAATACAGGTTATCTTTATGATTGGTGTTCACAATTTGCATAAATTCAATTACTTTCTAGTTTGAACTTAGTTTTACCTAAAACTGAAAAAAAAACTATTTTTATAATATTCAAAAATATTCGGTTCTATGATTATTAATTGTTGAATATTATGAGAGAAAAATACTTTACCTTACAGTTTCGGCCAGAGTGGCCACTAAGTCTTCAAATACTTACTGGCCACTCTGGCCGAAACTGTAAGGTAAGGTTAACCATAGAAGACTTAGTGGCCACTCTGGCCGAAACTGTAAGGTAAGGTTAACCATATATGGTTAACCTTACCTTACAGTTTCGGCCAGAGTGGCCACTAACTCTTCCATGGTTACGTAGTCATGTAAGTTAGTGTTTCTTCGGTAGCCCCAAGCTGCTTTGTCTAAAGTCATGGCGTTTTCCCACTTTCTGTTCTGTAACTTTCCTATAAGAAAAAATTACGGAAATAATTAATTTACGTTTTTAAGAATAAAATCGATCATTTTATACACTAGCAGAAACTTAGCCCTAGGGGTGGCTGGCTGTTTGTGCTGGTAATTACTGATCGTACTATTCATACCTCATTGAAAAAGTAATAATTAAAAAAGTGAACATTTTGTTTCTGAGAAGTACTGCACGGGAAAACTGTTCTTATTGTTCTCTTCAGACATACGCAACTCATTGCATCAAAATGATTCAATGTATAGAGCTCAAGCTTTTCATAAATGTTACTGATATAAACTGTAATATTTTCGTATATTAAAAGTGGTACTGTTTATTAAAAAAATAATAGTTTTTAAGAATCCGGTTTCTCAGTACTACATTTAAAAATTACATCAATAAAGATATAATCAAACCCTCACGTACAGTCCTAAGTGAAAGTCGTGTTCTTGTTGTGAGAAGAGTACTTTTATTTAAAATTGTGTTCTATTATAAAGAAATGGTTGTTGCATATACCACAGTTATTTTTCGAATTGTCTGAATCTTGAACACCCAAAGTGTGAAATTATTTATGGATTTTTGTTTATGGTGTCATTCAATAGATGACGAAAGAGTTTTGGTTACATACATAGATAATGACATACACGCTACGTCCATTATAGTAACATATTATGTTAATAACAAAGACATGGTAATAACAACCCATTGTTAAACTTAATTATATGACATAGAACAAATATAATTTTTGTCATCGACAAACTTAGACTTACGTTTCAAAGTAGGTTAATTTTAGCTGGTAAGCACAATCTAATAACTTTCTATTTTTTAATGTAATTATATACATTATATAAATACAGAACTAATATGAATCATATCATGCTTTAGTCATCATCACGTTTTCAAGTAGGTTTATTTCAGTTGAAACATAGTTGTGTTTTAATGACGGTAATCGAGAACAACAATAATGACATAGTAAAGTACTGTTGGAAACAACAATGACATAGTACAGTACAGTACTGTTGGAAACGACTCAGAGATGGGAGATTTATCCGATGATGACCGAAGTATGATAACAGAAACGTTGCGTTAAATGTACAAAATGACATAAATGTTTTAAACATTTCTATTGTGGCTTTTCTTTTCAGCTGTTTACATTAAAGTTTTTCAACTATCATCAGGAGAAGGCTGTAATATTGTGTGATAAATTTCTCCAGTTAATAATTACATGGTAATTTTCGGTCACGAATTGATATTAGTTTTGAAATAGTCACGGGATCATTTAATATAAAACCCACTAAGGAAATAGATAATTTAATTATATAGTACAGTATAAGCTTAGAGCAAAAACTATAAAATGAACATATTCCAACCTGGATTATATCTATCTTGGCAAGTGAAGTAACCTCCATGATGACAAGGAATGCCTGACCCCCAGCGATCATTGACCACTACTGTATCCTTCACTGGGCTGTAAAAGGAAAAACTGGATTATGAACCTTCATGAAATACTCTAGGAAAGAAAATCTAAGACAAGTCGTGCCCCACAAAAATGTTAAAAACTTACATGGCCATGAGTAGTGTATAATTATATACTAGCATCCGTATAATATTAAATAAAGCTCTGTCTATATGGTCATGAGTGATGTATGATTGTGTACTAGCATCCGTATAATATTAAATAAAGCTCTGTCTATATGGTCATGAGTGATGTATGATTGTGTACTAGCATCCGTATAGTATTGAATAAAGCTCTGTCTATATGGTCATGAGTGGTGTATGATTGTGTACTAGCATCCGTATAGTATTGAATAAAGCTCTGTCTATATGGTCATGAGTGGTGTATGATTGTGTACTAGCATCCGTATAGTATTGAATAAAGCTCTGTCTATATGCCCATGAGTGGTGTATAATTATGTACTAGCATCCGTATAGTATTGAATAAAGCTCTGTCTATATGGTCATGAGTGATGTTTGATTGTGTACTAGCATCCGTATAGTATTGAATAAAGCTCTGTCTATATGCCCATGAGTGGTGTATAATTATGTACT